GTTAAGTTAGAATGTTGCTGAATCCAAAGAGGAAACTACATGATAACTGCCTTAACTATCTCCTGATCATTTTTTTTAATCTCAAGTATTTTGTAGCTTACTGATTTTCTTTGATAAGAGAAAATTGTTGTTATAAAAACATACATTATGTTCTGACATCATGGCAGATCAGGCTGAAGGTCATAAATAAGTTTGTAATTGACCAATTAATCACTGTGCCTAAAAAAACTCCAAGTAGTCATCATAAATATTTGTTTGAAAATGCATAAATTCAGTCCAATTTTTATGTTTAAATTCCAAATTGTCTAGAACCAGGTACCAGTATATAATACAGGAGATATTCATCAACCTGTACATTAGGCTAGCAATGAATTGCTTGTTCATTTTTTGTTTAGCAAAAATTTCTCATTGAATCGCAGTTTATTTTTCCATTATATTTTATTCAATAATTCACAACTCTGCATAGAGTAATTGGCCGTTGTGTTTCATTAATGTGTCTGTAGAGTCAGTTCAATTCAAATTGTAACATGGCATTTGCAACTGAAGATTACACAAGTAATGTCAAAACATGTTTTGCAAACTTACCAACAGGGTTCTTGCACATGTTTTGAACTGAATTTTCCATACTGCATAAAGATAACTGTTATAGAACTCTATTTAGTGTGATATTACTGTAAATCTTGTTTACATGCTTCTGTTTTGTAACTTTCATGACTAAACATGTCAGTATATATTAAGGCCCACAAGTCTCTTCTGAGGTCCTCATTGAAAGAATTAAGGATGCCTGCAAATTTCAGGATCCCTTTTATAAGACCTTTACAAAAAATCAGCTTAGTTTGCCAAGATGCTTAAATGCTATAGAATATTTTATCACTTTTTCTACATTTTTATTTCTATATTTTCATTGTTATTACTTTTATTATAATGGTTATTGTTATTACTGTTGTTATTATTATTACTATTATTATTTTTACATTACTGTCAGCATTGTTAAATTATCATTATTAATATTATTTTATTATCATCATAATTCCCATTATTATCATTATTATTATTGTCATTAACATGTAACTTATCATTTTCAGTATGCTTGCCAGCATTTTTTGGCAAGCATTGCTAGTCAGATAGCTAAAATTGCTTTGGAGTTTCAAAATTATAGTACAAGTGCTTTGGTGATTTTATAAATTATTAAACACTATACTAAGAATGAAAAATCTGATTGACATTTTTGCATTTATCGTGCCAAGGTCAAAGTCTACCTAGTTTTCAAGTTCTTTGTCTGTGTAGTGTTCTCATTTTTTTTTTTTTTGGCAAACTCAGAGGGTAGTGTCCAATTCAGTTTTTTTTTGGGCAATTGATATCATGAATTTTTAAGCCTGCTGTCTGTGTTGTTTGCTTAGGCGTTTGGCTTAATTTATTCATTTCTTGTCAGTAAAGGGCTTTTGCTTTTGTATGTTAAATAAAATAGGACTTGGTGGCTGGTAGATATGAAATTTCTGTTCTCGCATCCAATGAGACATCTCACTCGTGAGCTATCACGTTAAGCACTTGAAGAGAACTTCTATATCTACACACATCCATGTATTAGTCTCTATTTAATGCCAATGTAGTGAAACTATTTTCTCATTATGACACAGCTCCAGACTTAATTCATGTGGAAATTCACCAGAGAGTATTGCTACAGTTTTCACTGATGCAGCCAGAATATGGAATGCTTATTGGGTGGTTTTCCTGCCCAACTCGTGATTGCAATAATGAGTGGGACAAGCATTGGATAGCTGACATCTATTTCATGGATAAGGTACATTTCGAAAATCCACATTACAGTGCGTTCCTCAACGGGACTTTACTTATCAAGAAAGTTCTCCCCATGTATGATGAAAGATACTTTATCATGCGAGTGAGAACGGGTACAGGAGACGAGCCAAACATTTACCATCTTAAAATAGTACAAGGTAATGTTTACCTCTTAGTTATTCTGTTTTATATGCTGTCTCCATGCGTTCTTCTGGCTACCTGACTTCTTTACCAATATTTCTCATTTTTCCTCAAACCTGTTTCCAGAGCGCCCAGTTTTGACACTGGTCAGTCAACAAAATATATATGCCTTTGAAGGGATGGACGTTTTTCTTGAAGCTCAGGTGAAGGCCTACCCCTATCCACGGGTTTCTCTGAGTCGTGTCTTGGAGTCAAATGAAAGTGTCATACAGGAGGCATCCAACGTCAGTTCTCAAATACTGATGAAGATTCCAAGCATCACTAACGCTGACAGTGGTGACTATGTCCTATACACAGAGAATACTGTTGGAAATGATACTGTCACTGTGAGGGTTAATGTGGAAGGTAAGTTTATTCTACTCACTTGTACTTACTGATGTTGGATTCCTGGCGTGGGTGTAACTTTTCACATAAGCACAGAAATGCCACTTATAGTCATGAGAAAGGGAGCTCTGGTTACCAGATGCCATCAGAAGATCTTAATTTCCTAACAAGAAAAATAGTTTATGGTACACTGCGCCAATAGTATTTGGGGGTGTGGCTCACTTACCATTACTGCTCATACAGTGCTTCATTTATTTGCATTGGAGCCCTCTTATCTTAACTTAAGAAAATTATTTACTTAATGTTAGAGGATTATTACACATTGAAAACTATGGCTGAGGTGTCTGCTGTGTTTTTTCTGCATTCAGGCATCCCAGGCCGTTTATCCTCACCACCGCCAGGTAAACACTACAATCCTTACTTTCTCTCCCCTTCCCTCTCCTCTCTTGTCTCTTTTCTCTCTTCCCTACTCACTATTCCCCTTCTCTTCTTTGGAGGATCAACCTATGACTATTTTAATGTTTATTGTGAGTTGCATTGGTGGTGATTCAGAGAATAGAGGCGTTAAATTTTCTTCATGAGTAATCAAGTATATTCTGACAATTTTCCACCACCTACACCTGTACCTGTTCAACTGTTCAATGTGCTATAATCCCCACTTTTCAATTTTTCTCACTTTTGTTTTTTTTTGTTTGTTTGTTTTCTACTCAGATACCCCAACTTCTTTGTCTTCATCTGGTCCAGGTTAGTTTACTGTTGAAACTGAGCGAGCATTGTTTTGGCCTACTGGTGTTATTCTTACTTTTTGCTCTCCCTCTAGTTTTTCTCTCATCTTTTTGTTACTTTTGGTAGACATTTTTTCAAGCAATATTATACAGCGAAGATCATCGGTGGCATTTTGTGAATCGTTACTTTGGAAACTTCTTTTTTCACCCATACTGTTATTTAATTTAGATGTACAGTTTTTTTTATAATATTAACATTATATATTTTATTTCCCATGAAGGTTATATCCCAAGCTCGGAGGCTCCTAACCTTATAGACCCTCCTCCCTTAGGTATGTGTACCGTTGTTTGTTTGTTTGTTTTTTTTGTTTGTTTGTTTGTTTGTTTGCTTTTTTCCTGAGGAAAAAAATACAAACAGACCAACATAAAGGAAGGTTTCATTCATATCTGAATGAGTGTCTTCATTTCTCTATTCTGCTCCTTCGTTTGCTTTGGTTGTTATAGTTCACCGTCCTATCGATTTTTCCAAATGATTAATGCGTTGCTCCTAACCCTTCGCAACGAGTTGTGAACTAAGTTTGGTTTTATAGTTCAATAAATCTGGCGTTTTTTCCGAGCTATGCATATGGGGAAGACTCTTGAATACAACAGATGTTTAAACTTAAAAAACCGCTTTCCCGATTGAAGCTTTTAAGAGATTGTAGAACATGAGGTTTAAGCTTATGCATGGTGTTCCCCAGGATCCCAGTTATCAGGTTGAATGAGTATAATAGACTTACAGAGAACGATGGTCCTTTTATTCATAGATGGAGGCAGCAAATACATGAAGGTTACGACAGCACTTGCGATAATAATTCCTCTAGCGTTGATATGCATAGGATTATTGTTAAAAATAATTTGTTGCAAAACTTGTAACTGTCACCTAAATCGAAGCCAGCTGTATAATTTTAAAGACCGCAACATAGCAGGTACTCGTAGTTGCAAGGGCGATACTGAGGCATCCGCGAATAGCGTTAGATATGTTAACAATTCAACAGCAGGTCATGCGTGTTCACTGTAGAGTGCTCATGGAATTTAACCGTAGTTTTGTTATTGGTTATATTTTTTGCTCTATGACGGTACTTAGTATGGATTGTTTCCATTAATTTTATTTTTATTTTTGACCCTGTAAACTGATGTATCAGTGACACATTTCTTTTCAAGTTAGAAAAAAAAGTTTATGATGTCAGTACGTTACAAGCTGTAAAACTGCGATATTTTTTAAAAGATGTTGTTTAATTTTTTTTATATTTATTTCCTGGTATTATCGAAATGTAAGCTGTTTTTTTTAAAGCCATATTTTATCTGTAAATAGTTTTTTTTTTTCTTTGTAACTTGATATTTTAATATTCATGTATGGCGGAAGAGCCCCCAAAGGGGCGCTGTGCAGTAAAGTTTGTATGTATGTATGTATGTATGTATGTATGTATGTCATGTCTACTTACCTTTTCTATACATTCCTTATATCTAAAGCGTATTTTATACCCTAGAACAGCATTTTCCGCTGTACGTGTGCGATACTTAAGAAAGGTTTTCGCCACAATAGATATTTTAAAGCAGGTCAATTTATTGAAATATAAACGAAGGCAGTCAAGACTATTTGAACGCCATAATAATCAGTGTGAATTTCGTGAAAGCCGTCTCATTGGGGCGATGATATGGACAACGGTTACATTACGTCATTTGTGATTGTAAGAAAAATTTTTATGGCCAACTCTATTTATTATACAAACTAAGGTGTAATACTAGGATTTCCAGCCCTGAGAAAAGCCGTGACAACACAGGTGAAAAAATATCGTATTTTCTCACGTGTGTTTGATATCGCCAATCAGCTGCTGACATGTTGCTCGCCTTTTGCGCCAATCGGTCAGTTTGATTAATGAAGGGCAAAGCTTTCACCATTCTCAATCCAAGGTCGTTTGTCGGAACTTTTTCGGATTATGGCTGTTGAAACGCTGAAAAAAATCCG